TTTTTTAAGATTTATTTATTCATACAGAACAGGGGTAAAGGCCAGAGATGTGGAGGGTGAGAGGATTCACCAGGGACAGAGTGGGGAGCAGAACAGGCAGACTGATAAGTGCACTATTGAGGGGAGTAGTGGGGTCACCTCCCCAGAGGGGTATCAAACTCATGCTGCAGTGGCTTCGGCCAGCTTCATAGGGCTGCTCATTTTAACGGATTGTGCCATCAGGGAAGGGCCTGGTTTCTACTGATTTCTAAGCAAGATACCGAAATTAAATCATTCACTTATGCACTGTATTATTTCACCATTAACTATACATCCACAGATCTGTCCGATTGTCCTAAGGAATGAAAAAATTTAACCCCTGAGTATTTCACAATGAGAACAGTCTGAAAAAAGTATACCTATGGGCCTTCCTGATGGACTACAGGTTAAGTTTCAGCATTAGCACCATAACAGCCTGATCCCAGGTCAGGGAGCTGACCCACATGGCAAAGCAGACCTCTCCTGTCTCACCTGCTGTTCCCCTCAGCAGTGAATTTCAGTAGATCTAAATGTTCTGCTCCTTATTCATTCTGGTGAATCCTCTCACTAACCACTCCATACCTTGAATTTGTACCCAAGTTCTTCTATGCAAAAATTAAAAAAATCTTTTTTTAATAAAAAGTACATATATCGGGTTCTCCCTGGTGGCGAAGTGGGTTAAAGCACAGCACTAAGAAGCTTAAGCCACTTCCGCATGAGTTCGATCCCCACCTGACCTGAGGAGATCCACATGGCGTGGCAGACCTCTCCTGATCTGCCCGCTGCTCCCTCAGCAGTGTACTCCGTCGATCTGCCTGTTCTGCTCCCCACTGTTTCTGGTGAATCCTCTCACCCTCCACATCTCTGGCCTGTACCCCAGTTCTGTATGAATAAATAAATAAATCTTTAAAAAAAAAGTACATATAAAAAAGTATATATATATATCAAAAAGTATGTCTGTGTGTGTGTGTGTGTGTGTGTGTATATATATGACTATAAAATATGCAGGTGAGGGAGAAAACTTATCTAGTGTTCAGAGGCCAGTAAAGTATTTTAAGAGATGCTGCCTAGGCTGAATTATAAAAAAGATTAAGAGTCAGGTGTGAAAAGAAAAGTACTCTGGTTTAAATATACAGCTTTTCTACATAATATACATTATATATAAGTGTATATAAGCATCATATAGTATATATGTTAACATTTTTATTTTTATGTTCATATAGTTTGGTGTATGATATTCTGGTATGACTAAAAAAAGCTAATTCCTTATAGAGTACTCCATCTATTTAATCTATTAAACCTTTTATGTGACTAAAGACAAGTAAATGTTAGAGTAAATTGAATTACTTTTTAGATACTGCTAGGTAAATTACCATGCAAACATTCAACATGTGTTAGGAAATGAAATACACTTACATTAGAAAAATGATAAACATATCAAATTATGAATAAACAATATGAACCGACTTCCAAAACTTATAACATTAAATATGTACACATTCTAAACATATTAAACTTATGAACTATCAAATAAAAAGAGGATGTGATAAGAATACTCAAATATTATACAACTGTAGATAATGCAAATTTTAATGTAGAAGATAATGGGATCATTACTATTTGTCAGTATAGAAAAGGCTTATAGTGCTCAAAATCATATATACACACTGCATATTTTACAATGAAATCTGGAGATATATTTCTCAGGGAAGCAGTGTTTGAGGTAATGTTAAAGAGGAAATTTGCTGTTTTCAACAAGGTTTCTTAAGTAGATGAATAAAAACATATCAAGATATGCACACTGAATAAAGACTTAGCAGTATCCATTCACTTGATCAACAGTTTTTGTTATGTCCACCATGGTCTAGTTTCCTCCTACCTCTCTAACATAATTGTTTTAAAATTTGCTTTATGTATGCATACAAGAACTGGGGTACAGGCCAGAGGAGGCGATAGGGGTGAGAGGAGTCACCAGAGTCAGAGTAGGGAGCAGAGCAGGCAGATCTACTAAAACACACGCTGATGGGAGCAGCGGGCGAGACAGAAGAGGTCTGCTGTGCCATGTGGGTCAGCTCCCTGGACAGGAATCAAATTCATGCTGTAGTGTCTGGCAATAGTGCTGAGAATTAAGCCCTGCACCACCAACAATTTTGGTAAGAGTGGAAAGAAAGAAAATGTGGTGGCAGACTTACAGACACCAGACATCAGAGGAAGGTGACTGCTGAAGTGAATGGCACTTTATTTTGCAATTATAATAGAAATCTGTAGCTCCCATCATACTATAAGCTTCATTAAGAGGCTGATTTTCACACTTTCCGTTGTTTCCCATGGATTAAAGACAATGCCTGAACCTAAAAAGTGCCAGAAAATACCTATTAAATAATTATTTTAATCCACTCCATCCCTTAGGCAATAGAACCTGATATTCCAGCAATGAAATTAACCACTTAAAGCCATAAAATTAAATAACGTCTGTAACCCTTTGGAATCAAAAGTCAAGATTCCAAAGATGAATTGTTTTTCATTAGAAAAGGTAATTTTTTTTTTTTGGCCTACCAACCAAGTAAAAGCATCCCTCCTCAACTCAAAATGAATTATCATCATGCCCAACTATTTGTATATTTATGGGTTAATTTCAGGGCTCTATGTAAACATATGGTGTCTTCAGAAAGGAAGTCAACTTTGCCATTGACTATCAACGTGCTGACATTGTAGGTTTTTTTCTGCCTTTTTTACCTTATTGTTGTTATTGTTTTTATTATTTTTTCAAAATCTTCTTCAAGTAAGAATCAACTCTTTACACTGGTAGTGTAACAGGGTGGTCCCTAGGAAAAGGGGAAGTTCCAGGTTCCCTGCCCTAGCCAGAAGGAGGGTGGAGCTGAGGAGAGAAAAGGAGGGGAGGAAAGGAATCAATCGAAGAAGGAAGCAGGATGGATAGCCAGGAGACCTGAGGAAGCCACATGGAGCAGCAAGCATGTGATGAAGAAACCGGGCTTGTTTCCTGAACCTGGACTGGTTAAGGCAGATGTGGGTGAGAGACATGTGGGGAGGTGACCATGGCAGTGTTTTTATTGATTTTGATTTTGCTCTTTTCCTCCCAGACTTGTCTGGCCATTTCTGACCCTTTTCCATGGGTCCCAGCCAGAAGTTGCTTTAGTCTTGTAGCAGGTTTTCAGGCCTTGCTTTGGGCCAATCCCTTTGGGTTGACTTTTGCCCACAAGAGGATGGGTAACTTCAGTTGTTTGATTTAGAAGTTATATTCTTTGTCTTCTGTATTGTATACTCACTGTATTAAAGTTCCTTTTCATTAAAGTCTTACATGTTTTGTCTTGATGCAGCCAATGGAAGAACCCACTTAGAGCAGGCAGGTTTGGGGGTTCAGCGGTGCTCCTCTCTCTCTGCCCTGTAACAGTAGGAATCAATTCTTTACCCTGGAACAGTCTACAAAATACAACTTTGTTATAAAATACAAACATTGGATCCTACCACAAAGGCCAAGGAGCCATCTTCAAGAATTCTGGTTTCCATCACAAAATTCGCTATTACTCCTCAGTATAAGCTGTTTTCTAAATTCAAACGCTTCCTGGAGTTGACCAATACCTTTGTGGTTGTTTTCAGAGGCCTCTAAGGAGAGCTCCCTAAATTTTAATTGTAGTATTCTATTGGATACATGTCCATGCATGCATGCAGTCATTTTTTTCAAAAGTTATTTTATGAAGGACATTATTTTAAATTCCTAATGACTAAGGGCCAGCCTGGTGGTGCACCAGTTAAGTCTCAAGATTATCAAGCTATGGCCACTGCTGCAGTCATGTAAGATCGATTTTAGTGGAGAAGCTAACCCCCATAGTACAGCAGTACTCTCCGACCTGTTCAGCACATCTGCCTGTTCTGCTCCCCACTCTGCCTATGGTGAATCCTCTCACTCCCATCCCACCCCTGACCTACACCACAGCTCTTGTGTGCATAATCATAAAAGCTTCAAAAATAAATAAAATCCTAAGGACTTATTTATTTAATCTCTGCAAACAAAGAAAATGGTTTTATGTCCTCCCTGTTGGCTGGGTTAGGATGCAGCACTGCAAGCTAGCTGCAGCTGCTTCAGTGTAAGTTCGACCACGACCGGAGGCAATCTACATGGCCTAGCAGTCCTCTCCTGTCTTGCCTGCTGCCTCCCCTCAGCAATGAACTTCGTCCATCTGCCTGTTCTGCTCCCTGCTCTCTGGTAAATCTTCTCACCACCCCTGAAAATCTATACCCCAGTTCTGTACGCATGAATTAATTAATAGATAAATTTAAAAATAAATAAATTGTTAAGAAAGAAAAGAAAGCTGTTCTTTAGCAGTTTGGGGAACTTCTGTAATGCAATTACCATCATAAATTATCTCAATTGAGGGCCCTCCCTGGTGGCTCAGCGGGGTAAAGCACAGCACTGAGAAGCTTAAAGCCACTTCAGCATGAGTTCGATCCCTGCCACAGATGATCCACATGGCGAGGCAGACCTCTCCTGACCCGCCCGCTGAGGTCCTCGGCAGTGGACTTCGTCGATCTGCCTGTTCTGCTCCCCACTCTGTCTCTGGTGAATCCTCTCACCACCCCTACACCTCTGGCCTGTACCCCAGCTCTGTATGCATAAATAAATACATCTTTTCAAAAAATTATCTCTATACAAATTTAGTTTAAAATATTAGTTGAAAACATTAAAAAATCAATTGATAATGTTGTGCCCTGGAAATGCAGGCCATCCCACGAAAAGAAAGCCCTTGTACCCCTTCTTTGCTTTACTCACTCTCCTTGGACTCCAGTCCTACCCCGGTGGGGCTGGCCGTGGGGCCGGCGCACTGAGAGCGGATCCCGCGAGGCAGGGGCGTGGCCCGCAGCCTCACCCCGCCCCTGGCGCGCGTATTCCCGTCGCTGGCCACGCCCCCTCGTAGGGAAGCGCAGGAAAACCCAGCGAGGGGGCGGGGCCTAGGTGCCTCCTCCATCCTTGAGAAGAGACCGGAGGGATGTTCCCAGCTCAGGAAGAGGCCGACAGGACGGTGTTTGTGGGAAATCTAGAGGCCCGAGTGCGGGAAGAGATTCTTTACGAGCTGTTTCTTCAGGTCAGTGGTTGGAGAAGGGGCGCCGGAAGAGCTGGGCGCCGGGGGTCGGAACCGCGGTCGAAGGGGCGGGGCGCACCTGGCCCACCCTGAGCCCCCTCCCCTCCTGGACCTGGGTTTTAAGTTAGTTCCCCCTTAGCGCACCTGCCTCCAGGTGAGCGACTGGGTGGTGAACTGCCTATGTGCCATACCCATCGTCACTGCAGTGACCTGGGCGTAGGCTGTCCTGGGATACCCCCAACCCCCAACCCTGAGTAAGGGCTTCTCCGAGGCTGCCTGGCCCTGGGTGTGCTAAAGCAAAAATAAAACCGCCCTGTCACGGCTTCCTTCGGGCAATAGACTCTTAGGCCACTCATCACGAGAAATGAGATATTGAAATAGTTTCCTATTCATTACTTAACTCCCCCAAGCCCTTTTTGTGGCAGGTGTTTTTATTCCAGCACATACATGAGACTTGAGAAGCCAAATCTGAACTGCGGTCTGCTGATTCCAGACTTATTCCCTGTTTTCATATCAAAAAGACTCTCTGGAAACTTTTATTGACTGCATCTTCTGTAAGCACTCACCTGTCAGGTACTGCTAGGTGTCACGTGCTAAAAAAGATACCTTCGTTCAGCCATTCCTCTGATCATCCCGTAATCCAGAATTACATATCAAATATTGAGTAAAGTGCTAAGTATACAAATTCAGAGGCAATCCATGGCCTTTCTAAAAGGGAATATTTAAAATTCTTAACATGATTTAGGGTTAAATCATGTTGTAAATCTTGTAGGTTTACAAGATGGGAGGGAACATAGTTACAGCAGAATCATTTTAGAGTGTGAGCTCTGATGTCAGCAAGTAAATGAATAGTTTAGTGCCTTCAGATTCCTGAAATGTCAGTAATAATATCTACCGTATGATGTTGTTGTGAAAATTAAATAAACTAATACTGGTAAAATAGTTAAAACTAAACCTGGGCCCTCCCTGGTGGCGCAGCGGGTTAAAGCACAGCACTGAGAAGCTAAAGCCACTTCCACATGAGTTCGATCCCCACCTGCCCCAGAGGTGACCACATGGAGTGGCAGACCTCTCCTGGCCCGCCCGCTGCTCCCCTCAGCAGTGTACTTTGCCGATCTGCCTGTTCTGTTCCCCACTCTGTCTCTGGTGAATCCTCTCACCCTCCGCATCTCTGGCCTGTACCCCAGTTCTGTATGAATAAATAAATAAATCTTAAAAAAAAAAAAAAAAACTAAACCTGGAACCTACTATGTGTTTGCTGTTGTTACTGCTACTAATAGCACCATTATTACTATTAGTAACAATACTAAAACTAATGTCAAGAGAAATCAAGACAAAGGGACTTCATCTATTAGAATAAGGGCAGTTCCAAAGCAGACAATAGCAGAGTTAAGTTCCCAGGCCTGAATGGAACTGAAAGGGATTTTCATTTGGATTTTGAGAGGCTCTGCTTTTGTTTCCAAGTGCTCCTCTGTTAATTATTGCTATAATTCTAGATAGAATTCTCTCCAGGAACTAAGTATCTTTTCTTGGATATCAAACTTTCTATTATTTGAAAAAAGTATTGTTGAGCTCAAGATGGTCATGCCTATCCTTCTAACTTGCCAACTTTCGAAACTGGCCCTTTAAGCTTATTCTAACTTTACAAAAATAGAAAGGAAGGGAAAGTGAAGGTGGGAGGAAGGGAGAGAGGAATTTATAGTTTGCTTTTGTTTTTTCCAGAAGACTTCCTTCAGGTTGAGCCTTCACAAAGGAGGGCACTAGAGTTGGGAGGAGGGCCAGTAGGCCTGAAAACCTCCTTGCACAACCCTATTTCTAGGCAGCAGGAGCTGGATCTACTTTAGTTGTATGGAACTACAAGACTCTACACACTATCTTCCAATTTTTATATCTCCCTAAACAAAATGTTCATCTCTTTTAGCAGATCAGGCAAGCAAGCATATCTTTTGTATTTTTGCCTATGTCTTTCTATATTCTGGAAGGATTTGCTAAAGTGAAGTATCTCTTAAAAAGGCAAAAACCTAGGGAACTCTGATAATTGCAACTTAATATGCTTCATTCTAGTTTTAAAAGACTATAATCATGTGATAGTTGCTACAAGAAAGTCCTCTTGTTAAATTTTTACTTTTAAAAATGATATCGTACCTCTCTGGATTTGTAAAATTTAAGACATTTGAGTATATTCCATCCTTTTATGATTTCACACACACATAAAAGCGCTGATTAAAATTAGCTTCATTACTGTATGTTATCCTTTTACTAATTTCTTAAAATTTTCTGATTATCTTTACATTTAAGAAAATAAGTCTGAAGATTTTTGTAGTTTTTAACTAAGGAATGCTGTAATAGAGATTTTAAGGGGAAAAATAAATTCAATTTCAAATGTATGCAGTTGGAAGTACAATCACACAGAGGTCACTAGGGGACTTGCTTCCATGATAGAGACACGAATAGGAAAAATCAATTTATAGATGAGGTAGGCCTTAAAGTCAAGAGGGAGAATGAGCTAGTCAATGGGAAAGCAGGGTATTTTAAGAGAAAAACTTGATCCTAAAATATAGCATCATTTTAAAGATGATGATTTGCTTTACATTAAAAGCAAATTGTTAATACATTTATCCAGTTCTACAGAGAAAAGCAATGAGTCATTAAAGTACAATTAATAAGTATGAACTTTTCACCATTAAATCTTGATTATGAGTGCCTTTGATCATTAATATGGTGGATATAATTTTTTCTTAGTAATAACAGACAATTTTTACATTTGTTTCTGCTCTTTTTACTTTATATTGCTAACCATAGGTCTTACTATTTATACAATTTGAAAATTTTCACTTTATGTTCTTCTGTCATTTAATAACATAATTTGATATATTATGCAGCTTAATATTTAGAACCTCTAATTTTTCACTCTTCTAGATAATGTACTTACTCAAAAGGTTTAATCATACTAAAATATTTTTCCTTTGGGAATATTTCCCAAGTGGGATTATTAGCTCAGAATATAAAGTAAATTAAGGTTCTTTTGTATTTTTTTTATCTTATTGCCAGAAAAAAATAGACTGCAATATAATGTTAATTTTTTTTAATAATTTAACAAACAGGATTTTTTTAAATTATTTTTTCCTTACACACTACTCATATGTATGGAAACAAAGTAGTAATTTAGTCTTGGATAGAAGTGTTCTCAAAATTGCTTTCTTTTGAGAGTCTGTACTACTGTTTAAAAAATTTCATGTCTATAACAGTATGTTTCTTTAATGGGCCAGAAAATTCCAAAAAGTGTGATAATTATTGTTATGAAAATACATTATTAGCAGCTATGTTACTCTAGTGCTATTTGCGGACTTTTTTTTTTTTTTTCGGTCTAAGTGAATACACTTGATTCATCTGAGTGTAAAGAAAATCTTAAATTTATGAGAAAATAATTTTTAAATTTCTTATAGGCTGGGCCATTAACCAAAGTGACTATATGCAAAGACAGAGAAGGAAAGCCAAAGTCTTTTGGATTTGTCTGCTTTAAACACCCAGAATCCGTGTCTTATGCTATAGCTTTGCTGAACGGAATTCGTTTATATGGAAGACCAATTAATGTGCAGTATCGATTTGGTAGGTTCTGTCATTGATGACTGTTCCAAGTGTGTTCTGTTGTTAGTGTTACTCTCAGAAATGTAACTGTTTATTGTGTCTGTATCTAGTGTACATGTTGTGTGTAACCTAAAACTGAAAAAATACTGTATGTCAGGACATATGCAGATATTCACAGTGCTGTAGAATTTAATGGCCAATTACATTGCCAACTCATTAGCATCTCTTCTGTATTAAAATTTTAAATGGGGCCTTCCTGGTGGTGCAAGGGTTAAAGTCAGCACTGTCAAGCTATTGGCAGCCACTGCAGCATGAGTTTTATTCCTGCCAGGGAGTTGATCAACAAGGCACAGCAGATGGCTCCTGTCTCCTGTCTCACCTGCTGTTCCCCTCAGCAGTGGATTTCAGTAGATCCACCTGTTCTGCTTCCCCAGTCTGTTTCTAGCGAATACTCTCTCTCTCTCTCTCTCTCT